GTGGCTACCTTCAGCTGTAAATAGACAAACTAGAAAGGCTGGGGGTGCCTGGGGCCTACAGACAGTCTACCTTCTGGTCTGGGAACCAACGTGGGCCCCTTGGTACCTCACCTGGCAGACATGACTAAGGTGTGGACTGGAGACAGGAACAATTCTGGGTTACCCATGTGAGTCAGAGAACTGATGTGATCAGGATTCCGGGGTTGGCATTGAAGATGGAGGGAGGGCTGGGAGCCGGGGGACATGGTGTCCCTGAAGCTAGGAACAGCATTTAGGTGACAGCAAGTAAGAAAATAGGGATCTGGACCTATATGAGTAGGGAATGGATTCTCTCCAAGAGTCTTCAGCAAGGAGGCAGTTCGATGGCCCTAGGTGGGTGGGCAAGGTAATCAAAACATGCTGGGACTTAGCCAGAAGTCAGGGCAGCAGCAGGAGACTGACACCACTGACCTGCAGGTTGATCTTCTGGTCACTGGGTTGCTTGTGGTGTGCCATGTGGAGCAGCCTCCTGGGGCTAGCTGACACCCCTCCCCCAAGTGCTTGGCACCCAAGAACAGTCTACAGGGGTATGAACTGCAGTCCCATTTGTGATGACAAGAAAAGAAGGGCCTAAGTGACCCTCAGCACTGATACGAGGCCATGTAGAGAGTGCATGCCAATGTGTGACATTCAGTGACTGGCCTGGCCTAATGAGTATGTGTGTGCCTAGTTCTGCCTAGAGATGTGCTTTTTTCCTTGTGACCCAGTGTTGCAGGTGATATTGTATGCTGTCAGTGTGTAGCACAGGAAGGATGGAGGGGGCTTGGGACTGTGGCCAGCCAGCTTGGGTACCAAGAACCTGCAGTGCCATGGCACTACCACCCTGTGGGGGTTCCTCAAGTGTGAGGTGGATTACCCACCAAGTAGGTATGTATGTGTCCTGATAAGTGTTTAAACAGAGAAACTCTTCATTTTGATAGGTTCAGTTTGTCAGTGGTTTTCTTTGATAGTTGGTGCTCTGGACCCTTCAGGAGCAACCATCACCCCACAGTTGCAGATCCTCCTGCACACTTTTTAGAGCTTGGTTTTAGCTTGCCATTTAGGTCTGGAATTCACTGAAGTAATTTTTCATGTGCATGTGTGTGGAGCACATGTGCATGCACGCATAAAGAGGCCCAGGTTGATGCTGGGATCATCACTCATTCCTCCACCTGCTCACTGAGACTGGGTCTCTGAATCGAACCTGGAGCTCACCAACACAACTAGTCTTACTAGCCAGTTTGCTCTAGGGACCCCATCTTTCCCTTCCAAAGCTGGAATTACAGGTGGGCTGCCCTGCCACCTGGCAGGTACATGGGTTCTGGTCCTTATGCTTCACAGCAAGTCCTACCCACTCACTGGCCATTTCCTTAGCCCTTCTGAGGGAGCTCCATGTGTGTGCTTTGTTGCGTTTGCTAGTGTCCGCTCTCTCAAATGTAGTCCTCCTGGGTACACCGAGGCTGTGTGTCCTCTCTTGCTCTGGAGGCTCCTCCCCTCTTCAGCTCCTCTCACCCATGCTGTGCTGCTGTGTGTGCCAGTGTGGCTGTGCTGCTAGAATGTCCGGTCACATCAGTCACAGCTTTTCGGTCCTACTGTCTCTGGAATGACAGTCCTGGCACCTGCCCTGTGAACCTGTTGTGATTAAACAAGTCAATGATGTATAGAAGGGCTGGCTCAGAGCGGAGTCCCCAACATGAGCCTGTGGATTGTTAGCCTCCTTGTCACCGTGAAGCTCAGAGCTAGTGCTGACCCTGCCTGTTCTGCACAGAGCCTCTCAGTGTCTCTGGCCTTCTTTCACGTTCTTTGGACTGCATTGCTGCTCAGGTGTTGTGCTCCAGAGGCCTTCCTTCTGGCCATGTGACATACATCTTAGAGTTTGTGACATCCTACTTTGTTCAGAGAAGGTCATCAGGTTGATTGGTTTATTGTGCTCATCTTGCTTTCCTCTGAGGCTTTGTATGTTATATGTGGTAATTTCTCCAGTCCCTACCCAGGAGCCTCACAGCAAAGCTGTCTTGTCAGACCAGGGGCAGATCCCTTTTCATAACACTCAGATGGCAATGGATGAGTGAGTGTGTGCATATGGGAGTTGGTGATGGGGGTTTTGGTGGTGCTCAGTGCTGGCACCTTGCAAAGCCCTGGGCTGCTGGGCTTTCAGTGGGAGAGGGCAGACACCTGAACTGACGAAACCTGGTTCTTGTTCTTCAGATCCGGAACATGGTGACAGTATTGGAAGTGATCTCCAGCCTGGAGAGATACCCCATCACCAAAGAGGCACTGGAGGTAAGAGCCCTGCCCCAGCCTTGGGCAGAATAGGAGGTGAGGGTAGACCCCAGCCAGCTTCTTCCTGTGGCTTAGACTCATAGAGTTCTTCAGGGGACCCAGTGGGCAGTGTGTCCAGGACATTGGTCTTCCCATGGGACTCTCCAAGAATGAAGGCTTCTAATCTCACAGCTAGGCTCCTTCCCATACCCTGCACACCTCAGCATTTGGGGACATGGCCTGAGCTATGCTTTAGGTAACTGGTTTAGGGACCAGGTCTTAGGCTGTGAAATGTGCTCACCCAGACACCCTGGCAGAGCAGCCGTGTGGCCTCAATAGTACAGACTCTGCAGGTCCCAGGAACCAGTGGACCTACTTTTGAGGAAGCCCATGGGACCCAAATGTAAGGATTCATGCTGCTACATAGTACTGGACATTCCCAAGCTTTATCCAAGAAGCTGGCAATTTGGGGGCGGGTAGGGAAGGGGTAAGCTCCCTTGTCCTACATGCTATGTCCCTCTTCTATAAGCATGTCACTTTCTTGGTCGTAGGAGACACGACTGGGGAAGCTCATCAATGACGTCCGCAAGAAAACCAAGAACGAGGAGCTGGCCAAACGAGCCAAGAGGCTTCTGCGGAGCTGGCAGAAGCTCATCGAGCCTGTGCACCAGAATGAGGTGGCACTACGGGCACTGGCAGGAGCTGCAGGCTCTGCCAATGGAGGCGCACACAACTGCCGGCCAGAGGTGGGAGTGGCCGGTGCCCCCAAGAGCATCCATGACCTGAAGAATCGCAATGACATCCAGAGGCTCCCTGGGCAGCGGCTAGACAGGCTGGGGAGCCGTAAGCGCAGGGGGGACCAGCGTGACCTGGGCCACCCGGGGCCACCCCACAAAGTTTCCAAAGCCAGTCCTGACCCTCTAGTCCCCAATGCATCCCCTCTCCCCACCAACGGGATCAGTGGGAGCCCAGAGAGCTTACCCAGCCCCCTGGATGGCAGTGGGCACATGGGCCCTGACAGCAGCCGCCTGGAGCCCAGCGAGAATGAGAAGCACAGCAGCAAGATCCCCGTGAACGCCGTGCGGCCGCGTCCCAGCTCCCCTGGCCTAAGCAAGCCCCCCATGCCCTGCCTGCAGACCAAAGCTGCGCAGCTGCAGCACCTGGACAGGGTGGATGAGCCACCAGGCCCTCCCCATCCCAGGGGTGCCTCTCGTTGCTCCTTCAGCTCCCGGAACTCACGGCACGAAGGCTCCTTTGCCCGGCAGCGGAGCTCGTACACACCTAAGGCCCCCGTGTCCAGCCCCTCCCTACGCCCCCAACCACTGGACACCACGCAGGTGCCGTCCCCACTCCCACTGGCTCAACCATCCACGCCCCCTGTGCGGCGGATGGAGCTGCTGTCCAGTGCTGAGAGCCCTGTGCACTGGCCAGAGCAGCCCGAGGGCCACCCGCGGTTAACAGGGCCAGCCTGCAGGGTTGGGTTGTCGCCAGATTCCTCCAAGGCGGACAGTGATGCTGCCTCTTCGGGCGGCTCGGACAGCAAAAAGAAAAAGAGGTACAGACCTCGAGACTACACGGTGAACTTAGACGGGCAGGTGGCTGAGGCAGGCGTCAAACCTGTGCGGTTAAAAGAGCGGAAGCTCACCTTTGACCCCATGACAAGACAGATCAAACCTCTGACCCAGAAAGAGCCAGTGCGGGCCGACAGCCCCGTATCCACAGAGCAGCCACCTAGGACAGAGCTGGACCAGCAAGAGGCTAAGGCCAGCCTCCAGAGTCCTTTTGAGCAGACGAACTGGAAGGAGCTGTCACGCAACGAGATCATCCAGTCCTACTTGAGCCGCCAGAGCAGCTTGCTGTCGTCGTCGGGCGCGCAGACCCCAGGCGCGCACCACTTTATGGCTGAGTACCTGAAGCAGGAGGAGAGCAGTCGGCGAGGGGCCCGGCAGCCCCATGTGCTGCTGCCGCTACCCACGCCCACTGACCTCCCAGGGCTCACTCGTGAGGTCACACAGGACGATCTGGACAGAATCCAGGGCCAGCAGTGGCCAGGGGTGAACGGGTGTGAGGACACACAGGGTAATTGGTATGACTGGACGCAGTGCATATCGCTCGACCCGCATGGCGACGATGGGCGCTTGAACATTCTGCCTTATGTCTGCTTGGACTGAGCATCTGGCCTGGCCATCAAGTGCATTCCCACCTTGCAGGGGCTAGGCTAGCCAGCCGGGAGGGCGGGCATGAGGCTCGCTTTCCACCCTCCTTTTGTGAAATGCTGCTACCAGTTTACTAACGATTGCAAAGGAAGGGCCGCTCGGAAGGCAGACGGCAGAGGGAGTCCAGAACTATAGCAAGCCAGCTATAAAGCGTTAGTCCCCCACCCCAGAAGCGGTGCGGAACCCCTCTAGCACCGAAGGCGGGGACCTCAGTGGCAGGCAGGCAGGCACAGGAACCCTGTGGGAGAGGTTACCGTAACAGCAACAGACGCACATCTCATCTTTGCATCTCCTGCTCTTTGGCTCTGGTGTCTTGGAGGTACAGGCCGCTGTCCGGTCTCTGCCAAGCCAGTGTTTTCTTTTCCCTCGTGTTGTGCGCTAGAAGCTTCTCTGCTGTGGTGAGCCCTGGGCGGGTGAGCCAGCTTCACCCACACTGCACAGGTGCCCACCCATTTGTATATGGTTTCAGTTCAACCCCAGTTCTTAAAGAAATGCTGCAGAAACTTCAGTTTTCTCGTTTATTTCATCTTTTTCCACCTGACCACTAGCCAAATGACTTCCTTTCTTCCTCTTTTCCTCTTCACATCTCTAGAAAATATCATCTTTCTAGAGCCCCCAACTTCACAAAGTTCCCGAGGGTGCTACTGGAGTGAGTTGCCCTGCTGGGCGAGGGGAGAGCCGTCTGTTCGCTGGAAACACTCATAACCATTCCTTTAGATTCGTTTGCCTTATGGTTGTCATAAACGCGATTTGCAAAAACAAGGAGCCTTAGTGAATGTACAGTACCTAGACTTCTGTGTCAGCGCAGAAGGGAGCAACTTTGCTATTTGGTCCAGTAAGTGGACACCTTGTGATATAAATGTGGAAATAAAAAAAAAAAAAACATTTGCACAAACCAGTTTTGGAACCATTTCTCATTTACATTTGTATTTGGTCTTTCCTGGTTTCCTCCATGGGGAAGTCCCTGGAGCCCACAGCCACACTCAGCCTTGGTGGCATCCCCTTAGCCTGCTTCTGTGGCAGCAGACAAGGTCTCTCTACCTGCCTTTCATTCATTTGAGGCCAACCTCATCACCCACCCAGAGAAGCCACCTCTTGCAGGCAGTGTAGCTGGTGATACCTTCCTTGCCCACCAGTACTTTGTGACATGGCATGGCCCCAGATGTGCAGAATTGTTATCTGGCCCTAACCCTGGGCTAGCAGCTGTAGGCAAGCCCAAGGCTGCCTCCATACCTGACAGGTACCTGCTAATTGCTAAGGTTTCTCCTCCTTTACAAAGTGATGATCTAGTTTTCTCCCCTCCCCAAAATCAATAAGCCAAGATTGGGTTTCCAGTTTGGTTTTTTCACTCTTGAGATAGGTCACCTTATCCATATCTGCTTAATTTCATAGATGAGCAGTTGCCCATAAGACAGCAGGTACACGGGGTCAAGTCCTAGAACATTTCCTTCTGGTTTTCAGGACCACAGCCAACCCAGAATCACAATTTGAAAGCCAGTAGGGATTTCTGGGATTTGGTGCAGGATGGTCCCACTCCCATTAAAGGGCCATTTGAGGAGGTGGGGCCCTGAGCCAGTATTCACTCAGTGTTCACTGAGTACATGTTCCTGTTCTGAGATGAAAAGGCTTCTACAAAGTTGCCAGGACCAAATCCAGTGAGATAAAAGCAACCAAAACATGTCAGTGTGGCTATCAGACACTGCTCTGTCCAAAGAACTAGTGGCTACCTTCCTAATTCCACTTGTACTCAGTTGGTGACTAAGGACTGTGACCCAGCTGGAGGTCATTAGGGTACACCTATCACCAGCTGCTTTTCTCAGACCCAGGCTTTGGGACAGGCCACTTATCATTCGGATCCCAACGCTCAGGGACTGCCACACCTGTGTTGAATATCCAGCAAGCCGAGGGGGTGGGGGTACACATGGTCTACCTTCGAGAACAGGGATGAACTACAAAGATACCCCCAGCCTTCAGGGATAGAGTTAGGCTGCCATTTTCTAAACTGCTAATAAAGACATTGTGAAGGAGCATGTTGAGATCAGCGAGATGGCTCAGGGATATAGGCTTGCTGCGAGGCCAGAGGACATGAGTTTGGTCCCCTGAACCCACATGGTGGGCAGGAGACAACTGACTCAAGTCCTCCTATGACTTCCATATGTGTACCCCATGTCCCGCCTCCATAAATGAATACATTTTTCTAGAAGGACCAAAACAACTCTTTTCCCACAACACTTGAAAGCACACGATCTTTGGAATCGAGTTTTGTAGCTAGGATCACGGTGCTAAGTCTTGTCCGGCCTCAGGGCTCTCGCCAGCAGCCTTCAGCCACCAGGGCTCTGCAGAAGGCGCTCCGCCCAGGGTTATGAGGGGAAGGTGACACCTACCGCACAGCTTCCGAGGACCCGGCGTCGTCCAAAGGGTTTCTTTTCCCCTAAAAGATATTTTGTTAATCCTGTCCGCGCCCCAGGCACCCTGCTTCCACAGCCACAAGTGGGCGGGTCCGCGTCTCCCCGCACCGCTCACGGGGCCCCGACAGCCACGGGAGAGCGTGGAAAGCCGCTTCGCGCACGCGCGGGCCCACGGCACGCCTTCCGGGCTCGGACCCGCCTCTCTCGGGAAAGCTTTCAAGTGGGGTGGGGCCCTCGCTGGAGACGTGGTTGCGGGCGCGTCGGCGGGCGCGCGGTGATGACGCGGGGGAGACGGCCAATGGCGAGCGGCGATGACGCGCAGAGCAGGCAGCCAATGGTGGCCGGCGCGCCCGCCCGGGCTGTCCCGCCCCCGGCCCGCGTCGGGCGGTCGTCCGGCGGGAAGGGGTGGCCGCTCAGGCAGGATGGCGGCGGCGGCAGCCGCGGGTCCCGGCGCGGGCGCGGGGGTCCCGGGCGCAGGTGGCGGCGGCGGGGCTCGCGAGGGCGCGCGGGTGGCGGCGCTGTGTCTACTGTGGTATGCGCTGAGCGCGGGCGGCAACGTGGTCAACAAGGTGATCCTGAGCGCTTTCCCGTTCCCGGTCACCGTGTCGCTGTGCCACATCCTGGCGCTGTGCGCCGGGCTGCCGCCGCTGCTGCGCGCCTGGCGCGTGCCGCCCGCGCCGCCCGTGTCGGGCCCCGGACCTGGCCCGCACCCGGCGTCCGGCCCGCTGCTGCCGCCGCGCTTCTACCCGCGCTACGTGCTGCCGCTCGCCTTCGGCAAGTACTTCGCGTCGGTGTCGGCGCACATCAGTATCTGGAAGGTGCCGGTGTCCTACGCGCACACCGGTAGGTGCGGACGCGGGCCGGGGCGCGCCGCTTGGGGCTTCGAAGTATGGGTACGAGTATGTGGGCCGTCAAACTGAGACGCCGCCAAGCGCGGAGGGTTCTCAGGTTGGAAAAGGTCTGAGGAGTTAACCGAGTGTCGAGCAGAACTGACTCCAGCTATTGGGGTCGGGAGGACGCCTTGCAGAGAGAGAAGTTCCGGCGGCGGGTGTGCAGGCTGCCGGGACTGCCCGCTGAGAGTGCCTTTCCTCTCTTTGCAGTCAAGGCCACCATGCCCATCTGGGTGGTCCTCCTGTCCCGGATCATCATGAAGGAAAAACAGAGCACCAAGGTAACCCTGGAAGAAGCCCTGGGCAGGGCGGGATTCCCGGTAGCTGGCTGGGTTGATGACGTGGTTGGACCGTGGCATTCCTCTGGCTTCCTGTCAAATAAGGAAGTCAAGGTGTCAGGCTGGGCCTTCCCTAGTGTCCCGCGCTCACTTATCAGACAGCAGGTGTGTGTGAAGGGGAGATGTCTCTGGATAATCTCTTGCTTATTGGCCCCGAGTGCCACGTCCCTCAGGGGTCTATATTCTCCCTTTTTTTTTTTTTTTTTTATTTCCTCCCTTGGTTTTGCTGGTAGGTGATGTCTGTTTGGTCCCATTTTGGCAAGTCAACAAGAAACAAATTAAGTTGGGACAGGTTTTCCTTCTTATTTTTTAACATTTATCTGTGTGTGTGTGTATGTTGTGCCTCCTCATGTGTGTGAAGCTCAGAGGACAGGGGTCCATCTTACCTTTTCACGGTGCGGATTCCTGGGATGAGATTCAAGTTCTCGGGCTTGGCCGAGAGCGCTCCTTACCTGTTGAGCTATCATGCCCTCGTTTTCCCATCACCAGAAAGAATGGTCGGTAGTGGGCGGCTGGATCTGATGTGAGATGCTGGGTCAGAGGAGTTTGATGATGGCACAATCCAGCCAGTTCTTAGAAATTAAAACTTTCAGGAGCCTGACATGGTACCATGGGTCTGTCATGCTATCACTCAGGATGCTGAGGCAGGAGGATGGAGAGGTCTAGGACAGCCAAGGCTACAGAGCTGAACTTTGTCTCAAAAAGTCTTGGAGCTGGTCATGGTGGCGCACACCTTTAATCCCAGCACTAGACACTAGAGAGGCAGAGGCAGGTGGATCTCTGTGAGTTCGAGGCCAGCCTGGTCTACATGGTGAGTTCCAGGACTCTGTAGAGAGACCTTGTCTCAAAAAAAAAGGAAAGGAAGAAAAATGTTGTAGGTCAGTGTGGAGCCCTTGCTGAGAACTCAAAGGCCCGGGGTTTGACACCTGTTTTTAACCAAGGTTGTGATTATCTGGATGTGAATCCCAGACAGCACCTAGAGCTCAAGGCTGCCTGAGGAAGATGCCAGGCCAGATGTTTCCTGACCTGAGGCTAGAGAGCAAGAACTGGGCTCACTGTGCCCTTCGCGCAGTGGCGATGCCAGTGTCCCAGCTGGAAGCCATCTCACCCTGTTCTATGAATGCTCACTTCCTGTATATTTCTTATTATTGATTTAGCTCAGAGCGGCTTTACCCTGGATCACTGTGTAAAAACTGGGCCACCTCTGACTGAGTTTTGTTCTCAGGCCCATCTTCGTCCTGGCAAGCCCTGTCTGCACTCTGTAGTCCCCGTCAGGGTGATGTCAGGTGGGGCTGGCCTCCAGGGGGTCAGGGTTGCTGGGGAGGCAGCCAGGTGTGTCACCTGATAACACACCTTGTGTTTATCAGTTTTCCTTGTCACTGGGGACATTGTACCTGGCTTGACAAGATGCCAGGAACCTCATGAGTGCAGGACCTGGAGATTGGCCCTCTTGGTTAGGGAGTGCTTTGCAAGACAGATAACTCAGGCCCTTGAATCCTCTTCTCAAGGGAAGATGTGGGATGCCGACAGGGAGAGTGGACCATGGCCAGGAGTGCAGGGGTAGGCATTCAAGTCCCACTGGCCACTTCCCTTGGGGACAGAACCTCTGCTCCTAAAAACCTCACCTGTCTTGCGTTGTTTTTACATTTATTACTTTGTGGGGACGTGAGTACACCCGGAGATGAGAGGACAACTTGCAGGAGTTGGTTCTCTCCTGCCACAAAGAGTCCTGGAGATCAAACTCAGATTTGGGGGCCTTTACCTACTGAGTCCTACTAGTTACCAACTAACTGGGCCCCTGATTTGTTTTTTTTTTTTAATACAAAAATCTCTGACTGGAAATCCACCTGGTTTTCTACCTTGTTGGGTTTTGTTTATTTTTTGAGTCAGGATTTGAAAGTAGCCCAGGCTAGCCTTATTTTTTTCCATTTATTTATGTATTTACCTTTCTGTGTCTGTCTGTATGGAAGTCAGAGGATAGCTCTGGGGAGAGTCAGTTCTCTCCTACCATGTGGGCATCAAGCTCAGGTTGTGAGGCTTGGTGGCAAGTGTCTTTTTCTTTCGGCCATCTCCCTAGCTCCAGACCTGAGACCCTTGGTGATCCTCCTGCCACAGGTTTCTGAGTGCCAGGATGCTGGGCATGAAGCACCTTGTGAGATGCAGGTGGCATTTTCCAGGGTGGAAGATGGGGTCCCCCAGGTCAGGCACAGGGCCACCCAAAGTTTCCTGCAGTTCTGGGTGGTGGGTAGCCCTGGCCCACCTGAGCCCCTCTACCCTCCTGCAGGTGTACCTGTCACTGGTCCCCATCATCAGCGGAGTCCTACTGGCCACTGTCACGGAGCTGTCTTTCGACGTGTGGGGACTGGTCAGCGCCCTGGCAGCCACACTATGCTTCTCCCTTCAGAACATCTTCTCCAAAAAGGTGTGTGGGCCCTACCCCTGGCGCTGGTTGCCTGAGGGTGACTTCAGGCTGACTGGCCAGATCAGACCCTCCTGTGCCTTCTGTTTGCCCAAATCTCTGCCCCTTATTTTGTTTTGAAAGCCAACCCCAAATTTAACCTACTCTGCTAACCTCTCTTGTTCCTTTTCTGTTACTAGTTTTCTTTTTAGATTTTATCTATATACTTAGTGTGTATGTGCAAGGGTACCTGCCATGGCCTCAGTGTGGAGGTCAGGGAACAACTTGCAGAAGTCAGTTTTCCTTCCTCCGTGTGGGACCTGGACATGAACTCAGGTCCTCAGACTTCGTGGCAAGCCCTTACCCATTGACCCATCTTACCAGCCCCTCCACATTATTTCCCACTAAACCTGCCCCAGCCCATTTTGTTTCCATGCACTCCTGGGATCTGCCTGCAGTACCCACCACCAGGTGCTTGCTTTACATACACTTGACACCATGGCCAACTTGTGTGGGGGTGCTAGGGATCCGAACTTGGGTCCTCGCGCCTGAGCTAGCGCCCAGCCCCTCCTTTCCTTTCCATGCTGAGCATGCTCTTCCTCTGAGTTGTGGTCACTGATCTCATCTTTTCTGGCCTTGCTCATCTACTGTTACTGTGTGGTGTCACCTGCTGCAAAGCTCAATCGTGACTAAAGCTCAGGGCAGCAGGGTGCCACCTTCAGCACAGTGGGTCCCCTTCTTAGGAATGTGGCTTATTTCCAACCTGTTGTAAGAAATACATCTGTGAGCCTCTGCGGAGAGTGCTGCTGCTGGCTGCTTGGGTTGGGGCATCTACCTGCAGTAGATCTGAAGTCCATGGTCTCTAGGGTAGGATCTGTTTCTGGCTTTTGCCTGGCATTGCCTGGTGGTGCTCAACAGGCTAAACCAATCTGGACTCAATTCAGAGGGATGTTAGCCGGCATGGTGGTCCCTGCCTGTCATGAGCATATGTGGGATGAAGGCAGGATTCCCATGAGTGCCGGGCCAGCCTAGGCTACAGGGCAAGACACCAGATGCAAATAAAAAAAACTGGTGGTGGGGGGGGAGGCTTCCGAATGCCTGGCTCACTCCATCCTCCCCAGCGTGTGTGTGTGTGTGTGTGTGTGTGTGTGTGTGTGTGTGTGTGTGTGTGCTGGGTTGGTTCTGTTGTTCCTCTGTCAGTCCCTCGTCCGCAGACAGAGTGTCCAAACATGACTATGTTCCTTCATAAACGAGCAAGCTGGTCTGATACCCAGGGTTGGCTGTCGGATTCCACTCTCCTGTTGGGGCCTGGAAACCCAGGCCTTGTTGCTGGTCAAGTGTCAGTGGCTCTAATGAGGCGCTCTTCCCTCAGGTGTTGAGGGACTCAAGGATCCACCACCTGCGGCTGCTCAACATCCTGGGCTGCCATGCCGTGTTCTTCATGATCCCCACGTGGGTTCTGGTGGACCTCTCCACCTTCCTGGTGAGCAGCGACCTGGTGAGTTGGGGCTGCTGAGAATTGCATGCGTCTTTACTAGCTTTCTAAGGCGCTGTAGTCATGTGTTCATCCAGGGGCATTCTTTGGACATCTGTCTGCTAGGTAGATGTGTCTGTTTTCTGTTCCTGTAACA